TMSTACCTTGTTGCCATAAAGGGCAGAAAGGCATTCTACYCAAACACCAAAAGTTATTACTAGTGAAATTGTGTGTTRCTATTTTTGAAGCCCACCAGTTTTTGTACTGGTAATCCTACATAGTAGATCTACTAGGTTTTGGTCACTTTTTGACCGCAAACAGTGTAATAGGACATTTAGAACTGCTCTGGTATGACCTGAGAGCAACTGTTCTTTGGGGGGAAATTCCTAATAGTGCTTGGAACAGAGCCCTCCTGCTGTGTCATTATTGTTACACAGTTAATATATAGACATGGCTACCAAATGTACAATACAGTTATACCACATTGTGGKGCATTATTTTTGTGTATAATGACTAGGTTGACTAAAAGAATAGTATGCACGTACATCATACATGTGCTCAGTCAGTACTCGCTGAACTTTTTTATTCCACAGTCTTGTGACCCGTGCTTTTTTCAATTTCGCGTGCTTTTTTTTCAACACATGCTATTCCTGTACCAGTAGTACAAGAAGTCACATTTTTAATCCATGCCGTTGGGAAGCCAATAGATGCTTTAGTGGCTTAGGACTTGYCAGCCAAAGTTACAGCAGTGGGTGGCCAAAAATCATTACTTCTAGTAGGTGTAATTTTTATATTGATTAAACTGGTACCATATGCATCCATGTATCACTAGTYAGTGTATTACTACTATCTTTCAAGATCAAGAAGCCAGTACTAGTAGATTGCAACTGAAAAGTGTCCTTTCTTCACTATTGCTCCATCAGCACTCAATTCAAAACTTCACCAAAGACTTTAAAAAAATCCCTCAATTTCCATACATGACCAGTAATCTAATGTTTTTCCAAGGAATTTTCAGCGTTTCTTTGCTCACCATCATTTTCTTGTAGTTTTTCTTGTTACTAGTACTAAAAAGAAAATCCCCTAAATTTCCATATGCATCATAGCATAACCAGCAATAACCTAATGTTCTTACTACAAGGAATCACCAATTTACCATCATTTTCTTGTACTACTACTAGGAGGAAGAAAAATAAGAACTTACTAGTAGTAGTAGTAGTAGTAGTAGTAGTTCTACTACATTTCTGCACCAATGGAAGAAGTATCAAAGAACTGAAAGAAACTGCAACTACTACTAGTATCTCTTCCATGTTCACATCATACTACACAACAACTCCAATGGCAAGCAAACAAAGACCTTTTAATTTTTGAAGAAACTAATGAATTSACTCAGTTAGTAATGGACAATTGCAACTGAAACTTTGGCAAGAAGATGCATCACTGGATGGTTCAGCACTGGTCAAGTTTCACCAGAGAAGTATTCCAAATCTCTTCACCCAAATTGAGTTTGTAGTACTTGCAAAGCACCACAACAACAGTAGCTATTACTAGTAGTGCTAGTAAATGGAGGAAATCTAAGCAAGAAGGGTCCACGAGATTTTGAAGTTTCTGCAGTTGCAGTGTCTCTACTATTAGTAGTTGTTGTAGTGTTGCTTCTTTCAATATTGGTAGTCCTAGCCACCAGTAGCCAGATAGCACACTATTAGTAGTAGTTTTGTTTCAACTACTACATGCTAGTACTACTACTGGCTTTTTGGTCTGTTCCATGATTCTTCTTGCACAAATATCTCTGTTGATTTATGCAATCCACCACTCAAGCAAATAAAGCCCCCATCTTTCTCTGTTACTCTTTCAGTAATGGGCGTTATCTGCTCTATCTACGGGGATCATGATTAACATCGTCTCTCGGCATTTACGGAAACTCTTCTYATGGCCGACCTTTTTTTTAGAAAAAACTCTCTAGTGGTTCCAGACGCATGCCATTTGAACCTGAAAGAGCCATGATTCGCGGGCCAGAGTTTGTTTGAAATTAGTCTAGACTATGTAGTGTACATATTGGTGGCATGATACTGGCAGCARTTGCAATCAAGCACCAAGAAATGATCATGYCATGRGACAATGGAAGTTCGCATGTTTATTGGTTATTCACTCCGGAGCGAGTATTCAGAATTTGGGAGTTTTCACGGACCAATGAGTGGATGGCACCAAGCATCAATTGAGTGTTGGATCCAACTGGTGCAGTGGTAGTGATTGGAATTTTCTTGGCTCCRGTACTTTCTCCCCAAATATCTTCGATTGCGTCCCCAATTATTTGAGGAATGTCCTCCTTCACGTGTCGTCCATCGGCGCTGAGAAAGAACGGGTGGCATACTATTTCATCRACTCCCAAATCCTTCAACTCTTTCAAGCCATCGGGAATTGATGGCAAGGCAATCTCCATGTGAGCTGCCCGAACAATGATCTCGGTCGTTGTGTTTTCGTCATCCTCGTCTTCGTTRTGTTCAAGTGTCAGTTGGTAGAGTCTTGCCATTTCCTGGAGTCGGGCGTTGCTCTTTTCCTTTCTGGAGCCGTGATCCATCAGGAGGACACCAACCTTTTTCTTCTTGMCATYGTTGCTAGAACTGGCTGCCCCGATGCTCACAGGGTCTTCCACAATATCTAGGGCTGCAGGTGGTGCCTTCATGGATGCCATCGACTCCTGCTTTGATTTGATACCATCTGGATATGAATGTGGACTGCGCAAGGGGTCAAAATAATCAAAAAGATCGTCTTCACTCTTTTCCTCATTTCTGGCTTTMGGCGTAGAACCACTTTCATTGGGTTGGTTCACATCATTGACTGGCAAATTGAAGCCAAAGCTTTTTCCTTTGTATGACGGTGCTGGTTCCCGTTTTCGTTCTTCTTGGACTTTGTCATTGTTCACGGCTGGTTTATTCTCGGGCGAAATGCCTGAAGGGTAGGCATGTGGGGATAGCAAAGGGTCGAAGTACTCGAATAAATCAGGATCGACATTCTCTCCTTCGTTCGCCGCATATATTTGAAGGCGCTGGCGACCGTAACAGCAATCACTGGTGAAAGCGGAGGTATTCMTACAAGAAAGACATGCCAAAAAAACAAGGGSTGCAGCCCAGAGAAATGGGGCAGCAGACATCATAAAATCCTTGTTTCTTTGCGCTGYTGAAATATAAGGAGAGCACGAATGTGGTCGTATGATGTGATTTCGTTTGAGGAGAGATGGACAGTGCTGACTTCTTGCTCATGAGCAAAACCTGAGGAGAAAAATCCAAATCTGCCTCGATTGTACCGGTAGACGAGAAAACGGAACAGAATCTCGTACCGGCCGGTACCGGAGTAGGAGTACAACTCGAGCTGACACCATACCAATTGCAATTCGGTGCTGGTGCTGGCTGTACTGTCGGACCGTTCGTACTTACTGGTACCGGTACCGGTATGTAGTCGTACCCGTTGCTTTGTTATCTGGTCCGTACCGATACGTACGAGTAATACTGGCAGCACGAAACGTACGGGTAGTATTTCGTCATGTTTTTGGGTCAGAAGCGAAGAAGGCGGGACTCGACTTAAAACGACTCGACAGGAACCATGTCGATCTCAATCTTWRGGGAAATGATTAGATTCCCAGGCATCCCTTCCTGGTACCGAAAATTGTGATCGATTTTGATGACAAAAAAATCTGATCAGAAATAACAAATTTGTGATCATTTTTTTGTGATCAATTTTAACTGGTTTCCTACTAGTAGTAGCCCTATTAAAAATAGTACCACTAGTAGATATTAATATCTAAATAAATTAATAACAAGAATACTATTTTACACAAGGTAGTAGTAGTAGTAGTACCGCACTAGTAATAGTGGCCCCACCAGTCCTGCCTGTAAGTACATACTACTGCTACTACTACTACTAGTAGTAGTAGTAGTAGTATGCCTTCTTCCTAGTAGTAATTATGTGCATGTGGTGATTATAATACTATTCATGTAAGAATAATATATATGAATTGTTGTCTGTTGAAACAAATGTTATCAATTTTGATAATAAAAAATTGTGATCAAGAAATTCAACAATTTTGTGATCAGATCTGATCACATWTTTTTGTGATCAAAATTGATCAGACAATCAAATAAGAAGGGGGACTAGAGAATTGAAATTCTCCAAAGAAAGAAATTAAAATTGACATGGTTCCAGACACCTGGGACRTTTGGCTTTAACTTTCTGATTTTTGCRGGTGCATGCACCAACTACTGCTGGCCCATGCGTGTGCATACCTCTCATTGAAGGCAGCAAATGACTCATCATGAACAYCAAATAGTAACTATTTTCACACTGAGAGGGATTCAATCCATGACCACCTATTAATAGATTAAAGGAGAACCCATAAGTAACAATTTTTTATTTTATTAAAACAGATTCAAACCATGACCACCTATTGATTAATTAAAGAAAAAACACAAGCAAAGAATTTTTACCATGACCATCTACTGCTTGTTACAAGAGAAGAACCCTTTCAGTAATGAATTTTTTATTTCATTTAAAGATTCTAAAAATGATATTAGCCCAAATCAGATACTTCATTCAGAATRCAATATAATACAAGCCTGAATCAGATACTTCATTAAAAATACAACATGGTATGTGCCCAAATCACTCATTTTGAATATGGTAAGACATCAATCAATCTGAATCAATTGAATATTTAAGTATGACTTAGTAATCTTTTTTCCAATCTGATACTTCCTTTGACAAAGTTGATTATATTTTCCTTATGAGCCCAAATTTGAATCCACGTCGTTTGGAATACAAGACAATTTGAGCCCAAATCAGATACTTCATTCCAAATACAATAACATGATTTGGGACCAAAACATATATTTCATTCAGAATATGGMATYWTCATTTCAATGCATTTCTTTTCCTCCTCTCTTCTTTTTTGTATTTTGAAATACATGTCTCAACCATAGATTGGTGGTGATGGTGGGTCCAACTTTTGTAGTGGGTTTGTCATGGTACTATCAAATACCTCCCAGAGCAAGAACCCAAATAGTAGTAAAACACTCACTCTGAAAGTTGCAGGATATATGGGGATGTRGTGATGAAAAATAATGCAAAGTGAGAACTAGATTGATTAGTGATCTTAGCTACAATTGAAATGAAAGTGGTTGCAGGGAGAGTTGCATTTATTGTGTTTATGTGCCTGTGTTGTAGTCATCAAGGACTTTGGGTATTTTGGTGCACTTTGGCACTTCTKTTGCATCCTGCTCTGGGTGTGCATTTTTTTCACTTAGTTTAAGAAATAAATTACTTATGAGTGGGTTATGGAAGGAGTATGATGCACATGCATGGGCCAACAATAGTAGGTGGTGCATGCACCCGCCAAAATCAGAATGTTAAAGCCAAACTCTCCAGGTGCTGTCAAGTTCTTGTTATGGTGGTGATCTGTCGTCCTATTTTTGTCTCATGCCATGCTTCTTCTTTCTCCTGGTATGGTAACCCAYGTATAGTACCAGTCTGACACAGGTTTTKCCTTGAACAAAAATAAAATTAAAAATTAGGCCACTARTCACCTCCAACTTTGACCTCAACCAAGCCCCCTKTTGGGCCCTACTACAGTGCCCTGAYCACATCCACCTCTAAGTAATTTTTTTGGTAGGATCAGAGTTGTTTTTTTGACAGTTGCTTGCCTATTTTCTACTTCCTCACTTCCCAAATAAGCGTTCCTAGTACCTCCTCATGGGAAAAGATTGAGGAGTTGCGTTCTTTTTGACTCCTTGGGAACATGTGCAAGAACCCCTATCAACCCATATATGCATCAAATCCTTATAAGAAGACAAATATAGTTATTATATTAATTCATGAATACATCATAARRCTGACCTTAATTGGACTCAAATGTTTCCTCTGAGCCATACTATATGATCTAACCAGTATATTCCATACAAATCTGCAGCAATAAAAATACATTATTCAGAGTTTCTTGTTTACACCATCATCAAAAGCTTTTTCACCAGTGTTCATGATCAAATGATCAATGTCATTTGAACACTTTTTGTACTGCAAACTTTGAATCAAATTAAAGAAACCAAGTTCAAGCACATTCAAATTGGGACTAYTTCTTGGAGATTGAGTCCTAACAGAAATATTCCAACCTTTGCTAGCTGTAGATGCAGCAATATCATCTCTGATTGATGCCTTCTTGTGAGGCTTCATATTGTCCTCCTGGATAATAAGTTGCTCATTGTGGCCATTTCTTGAAGATCAAGGAAGAACATTTTCAAGAACAAGCATCTTCTTGTACACATCACCATTCATGTTTGCAGACTTCTTGGTCACAACAAAGAGTACCAGCAGGGTGGTTGGTTGACAGATCTACACTGAGCTGGATTCTTCCCAACAAACTGCCAAATTCAATTTTGCTGTCAAACCAAATGCACCTGTTTGTACCCCAACGTGGCAAAGTAGTCACACACAAAAACATCATCTTTGTCATGGTATGGTTTTTTGACTTGGAGGCCAACTCAGGTTCAGCTTTGTCTAGGAGCAGATACCTAGTAGTTTGCTTTGTGTGTTTCAAGTAGAACCACTTCTTGTCAACATGGATCCAAAAATAAAAGTTGTCAAATCTTCCATTCTCATCAATGTGTTGCAATAGTATCCATTCAAATCTCTTCATTTTAGTATTTGCATATGTTAGAAGAGGTTTTGTAGTAGTTCCATTAYGATTCTTTATTTTTCCATGCTTGACAAGTTTGTGCAGAGCGTTGGTTGGAATCCCAGTTGGAGCTGAGAGGATTCTTAGATTACCTCTAGTATCTTTGTGGGGGATATTGCTAATTTCAGTCAWAAAGGTGCAAAAGGGGCATACCCCACATTTTGGAACAGAGCAAGTAACACACAGTTGTTGGTCATTTGAGCACATGGTGCTAGTAGTAGTACTATTTTTAGCCTGTGTGGCTGGTAAGAATGGACTGCTGGCTTGTGCCTGACCACCAATGGCATCATAACTATCRAGAAACACCAGTATTATATATGCCTAGTATGCACGCTTGATTGCTGCAGGACTACAGAAAAGTTGCACTATCAAACAAAAGTTAAGATTTTTTGCTACTAGAATAAAACAACAAGCACCAATTTTGTAGTAGTAACCAATTTGTAGCCAAAAACACTTCCTTGCTAAGAGAGCCTTCATTTTCTTCAGGATAATGTAATGKTCTAAGAACCTGTTGATGCCTCTGTGATGCCACCACTGGTGGTGCACCACAAATATAACCACCAGAAGTGYACCTCCTGAGGAGCTCCACAGGTARATTTCTTGTTAATTTGTGGTACACCYCCAGAGGGACCAAGATCACAGTTACTTCTATCACATACATCCAGAGTTTCTTTTTGTACTAGTTTCTGGGCAGGATAAAATATGTTGATCATAGCAAGAAGAATGTACAAAGCCCTACGTGGGAAAGAGTCATTTTGCCCCAACAAAAATAGCTCACTTTTTTCTGGACCACCATCTTCACCACCATGGTGGTAGTTATCACATCTCCACAAACAAAGAATCCCTACTACTAAMTACAGGAAAGGTACAGGTGCATAGTCTAGTACTAGTACTACTACTAGTGCTGGCTGTGGTGGTGGTTGCTTGGTGCAACTTCCCTTATTGTCCTCCTGTGAAATATCATTGTTGCTGTTGTTGCTGAAACTCAATTTTTCTTGTTGCTGCTGCTATTACCTCTGTTGTTGTATTCTTTCAAAGGACAAGAAAAAAAATGTCAAGTCCAAAGTCACCAAAGGGTTTGTAGTAGTACCTCCACAACCTAGCCTCCTCTGAMTATTCTAATTCAACATCTGTGATAATCTAATTAGTTGGGCTACTACTATATCATATTGGCCTCCTWATTAGAGCAGCAGTTACGCTGGAGGCAAATTAAAAAGACTTAAAAAGTATAGAAGAAATGACACAAGGAAAAGCTGCATCAGTGCAGCAGGAAAAATTATATATCTATAAATTCCCAACCTGACATTGGTGGTCATTATTAGTACTAATACCAGTAAGTGAACACACCAAAGAACCATTATGATGCATCTTACTAGTACTACTACTACTTGAGCTACTACTACTACTACTGATACTGGCGGTACTTTCTGCTCAGGACTGCAAGAATGCATGTTGAAAGGGTTTTGGCAGTTAAATTTAAGCAATGGCCATTACTTCATAAAAATGAGTACTGTGAATTTAAACTAGTAGTACTACTAGAGAAAAGAACAAACACATGACAAAACATGCAAGTGCATGCTGTAAAAATCATTGATCAATAATTTTCCCTGCAATTATTACTATGACAACAATAAATAAAAATCACTATGGTATTCAGCACCTTGTGTTTTGAACAAGAGGAATGAGGACTAATTTTTGAAAGCTACTACTAGTACTACTAAGAGTAACAGCAGCCTGACAAAGAATTGAATGTTGGCTCTGTTGTCTTGTTGCAACAAAATTAGTATTTTCCAAATGACTGGYGGAACCCTTCCCAACTACATCTATTTCCAGGAGTTCTGGTCTAGTATCCAATTAGTAGTATCAGCAATTTAATGACCACCCTACCTACTAGTGCCCAGTAGTTGTAGTAGTAGTAAGTGTCAGCAGCAGCAGAGGAGTAAAAAAATATCATTAGTGCTAGTACTACTAGTACCACTAGTAATAGTAGTACTTGAAGTAGTATTTTTGATCATTTTCATTCACACAAGCAATGAGGAACAAGAAACACTATTCCATATTCCATTATCAGCCAACTTCAAAAGGGCTATATGGCAAATTCTTTTCTGGGGGTGCTTAATATCTGCACATTAGGAATACTAATGATTGTGAACTTCCAAATTTTTTGCTGGTTTTACTTAAAAAGGGACTATATATTTTTTGGTTCAAGTTGAAAATGATTTGAATTTTTCTGTAATGGCTCATCAGATTAGACATCTACTTCTTTTTAGTCCTCTAGTTATGTCTTTCTTTTTAATGCTTTGTACTACTAGTAGTAGCTTTAATTCAAACATCAAAGCTTTCTGTTGCGGTCAGATKTATTTGTCCTAAACTTCAACTCCTGATACTASTAGTACTAGTAGTAATGTCTTCAACTAGTACACTACCAGTACTATTACTACTACTGGCAGTACTAGTGTTCATTTAAATTGGAAATATTACTATTACACATTGCTCCCTTTTTAAATTYAAGGAAACAAAGTCCTACCTTTTTTGAAAGTGATACTTCTCATCATACTTTTTCTTTGTTCTGTACAATGGAAAGTCTAATTAGTCATGGAGTGATCTTGCAATTTTTGTTAGGCAGCAGAGATAGTCTACTGAATATTTGTTGAGCATACATGATGCCATAACCATAACCAGGAATACCAAAACAGCCAGTACCACAACCAGCACCACAACCAGACAACTGCAACCAGACAACTGCAACCAGACAACTGCAACCAGACAACTGCAACCAGACAACTGCAACCAGACAACTGCAACCAGACAACTGCAACCACAACACAACCACAAATGCAACCACAAATGCAACCACAAATGCAACCGCAACTGCAACCGCAACTGCAACTGCAACCAGGTCCACAACCACAACTACAACCACAACTACAACCACAACCATAACTTCAAATGCAACCAGAACCAGAACCAGAACCAGAACCAGAACCACAATTACAACTTCTACAATCACATACTACCAATCTATTCAAGAAATATCAATAGATTTTGATCAATAGAACAAATCTGGTGGTAGAGAACTCCTCCGCCACTCCATTCACTTGAATGGAAGAAGGAGTTGACTTCTGAACAACAAATTCCTACCGTTAGCCAATAGTCTCTAYATACGATGGGGACAGCAACATTTTTGCTGCCTCGGATTCTTGGATTCTCACCTATGTTGCCAGGCAAGTCGCCACTCACCCCCAACAAAGGCCCCGCGGCGCCCCGTTGTTACAGTCCGTTCGACCGACCTCCCCTTGCAAGGGAATTTGCCATTTCGTGCAGCATACATATTGTTGTCGGCACCGCATCTCACTCCATTGCTCACCCTAGAATWGTTTTGCGTACGAGCTCTAAAAAGTGGTGTAACACCCAAGAACAAAAAGGACCCGGCATCAGGTACTTTATTCTTACCAGCTTGCCTATGGGATCAGCGTTGGAATATTCGTTTTGGTCCTCCTTCCCTCGAGTAYCTGATTGCTTGTGTTGCATACACCGGGGCTCTACAGGTTGGAAACTATTTGGAATTGACCGTAGGGYCACAAACGTCGTGCATGCTCAACCAACTTGGTACCATTGGGTTTTCCAAGGCTCGCACGGGACTACCGTTCGTTGCGAAGCTGATAGTTCGTCACTTGCGTAGCAACTAAGCTTTAGATAGAATGGTATTATCATTAAAAGACTATTGACCAACAATTCTAGAGGGCGCCGTCGTCTCCTTCGTACTCTTCGACCAATTCGTTCAGCCTGGGTTGGACCTTTTCCTTTGTTTCATCCGACAGCCGATCGGTGTAAACGGTTCCGTCCAAATGATCGTACTCGTGCTGAAAAATTCGTGCCTCCCAGCCCTTGAATTTCTTCTTGATCTTTCGTCCCTTCGGTGTAAAGGCCTCGACCTTGATCCACTTGGACCGGATCACTTCTCCCTGCATGTTGGGGAAACTGAGGCATCCCTCGATTTCTTCGTCCTTTGCATCGGAATAGTCCACGATGGTCGGGTTTACCAGGATCGTCTCTTCCAACCACTTTTTGGAATCTCCCGACGGGTTATACACCATGAGACGTTTGTTGATGCCGACCTGGGGAGCAGCCAATCCAACACCCTCTGCCGCGTACATGACCTTCAGCATTTCCTTGGCAATTTTCGTGATGCTTTCTTGCTCGTCGGGCAGGGACACTTCCGCGTTTTCGGCACGCAACGAAGGGTGGGGGTATTTCACTATTCTCAGGTCGGTCCCCTCAACGACCCCCGGATCTACTTCTTCTTTCGAGGGCGGGGAACCAAAGAGCGAGGTAAGAAGCCGGTTGGGTTCGCTGTCGTTGATTCCGTTCCRCAGAGCCCCGGTCGCCGTGGCAATGGCACGAGAACCGTGGGAACCGCCCGCAAAGGCAGAGACAGCAGGCAAGAAAAGGCTCCCGCCGCTCGCACGTCTCGCCAGGAGCGAGCACTTCGACACCGACATGACGAAGGACACAAGGATTAGGAGGGGCAACGACGTCGTTGTTCTTTGGATCGATCGCTTGCTKATTCTGTTGGCCATGGCGAAGTTTGGTTGGTAGTGAGTGTGTGASGAACTGTTGGAATTGATCGAAGAGACAAACCACGGGTGTCTGCTCGGCACGATCTATGTAAACGGATTGGATTCGTTTCGGCTTAACCCCGGCAATAAGATGCAAGGAGCAAGAGCGTATCGTACGGTATCGTGCTTCCAAAAACCTCGTTCCGGTGCAGGACGGAAACGGGCAACTTCTTGACTTTCMGCTTACTTGTCTCACTTTCGATGTTTCGAACGATGATGAGTTTTTTGGACGAATCATCAATCTGGTTCGAACCAACTTCATCTTTGTTTCGTCTTGTCTTGGWGTTTTGGGAAATTAATTATCACACAATATTTTTAATGMTCCTTSATTTATTCGTTTCAGCTAAAAATCAATATCGACAAACTAAATTCTCATTCAAATTCCGGGAGAGCGACGTACGAGCGACGAACGAACCATGTTCAGGCTCATTGTTTACCGTACCATTAATTAAATCAAACACGCCAACACGTGACAACATTTTTTTTGGAGGCCCTATGGATCGATTGCTTTCGACCCGGGCCCTACGGTAGAACTGACAGCGGCCACGAAGAGAAGCTGGACATCAGAATTTCACGCGATAACCGCGTTATAACCAGCTAGAAAAACCACAGCAAGCAATCGGTCTAGTGCCAGACAACGATCCGCATCAGACGGAATCAAATCAAGGAACGGTAGGTACAATGAAACCACATCGCACTGCTTTGTTTCTTATCCAACAACAGCGCCGGAAGGTCGACCACAGAGAACTCCTACAACGAGCACTGGTTCACCCAGCAATCGGCTCGAGAAATGGGCTCGGGACTGACTATATCATGTAGGATCCACGTAGGATCAGTACTGCATGGCATGTTCGGAACCACCAGCTTGTTTCCGCCCTTTTCGTACTCTTTGTGTCATTACGTACCCCATGGTCATCCCGGACTCGCTCCCGCTTTCCTTGATCTCGTGTTGCAACCATTCCTTTCGATCACCTCACATCCTTGCTCTTTGTACTGCAGCTAGAGCTATATCGTTTCCTGATACCTGTTTGCAAAAACGCTTTGGAAACACTTCGTTGTTTGAAGAAGAACTCGAACGTGGCAGGAAGTCACCCATTCCAATCAGAACGCAACAATAATCTCGACGATGAGGCTTGGTTTGCGTTCACTAAACCGCMAATGCCAGCTTGTCGTCGTCGACAACGATGAACAGTCAACAACATCGACCTCGCTTGTGGAACGRGGGGAACAAAAGCACGGGCAAAGCCACCGGGCGCAGGAGCAACAACAGCTGCCCTGCGAGGCATCGTCCTCGTCTTGCTCGATCGCAAGCATTGCGAGTTCTTCCCTGAGCGATGCCTCGGAACTTTTCAGAGACGAATCGGTGGTGTCGGTGGTCCTGGGATACGACGATGGCGACGATTCCTCTTCCTCGTCTTCTCTGCTCTCTCAGCAGCAAGAGATGCAACAACAACATTCGCAGGCGTTCCTTACCACGAACTCTCCGGACGGCATCGAAATATTGGCCGCCAACTGTGACCTCGGGTGGGATCCACCCTGCCAGAACACTCACAATAGCGGCGGCAGCAGCAGCAGCAGTGGCAGAGACAAATCCGACGGGAGAGGCGGGAATAAGAACCACGGCAGCGGCGCGAGCTCGATCCACCGTCCGATGCCCCAGCGGCAGCACAAACAACACCATCGCTTTTCGCCCTCGGGTATGTCCGGGGGCGAGGAGGAAGACGAGGAGGAAGGCTCGGAGGATGCTATGGGAAAGAACAACGTCCAAGCACCGCAACACAACCASGAGGAGTCGCAATCGCGACAGCAGSAGCAGGAGSAGSAGCAGCARAAAACCGAGGGACTMGCCCCCAACRATGCGGTGTCCCGAGACCAGCATTCGAAGCAGCAACCACAGTGGCGACAATCGGAATCCGAGGCCGTGGACAGCGACGAATACGAGGCAGAGAGACAAAAGCAACCGCAGCGAACGGGGAAACGATCTTCTTTGGGTTCTGATGGCAGCTACAAAGCCGGAGAGGGAGACGACGACGATACGATTCCAGACGAAGAAGAGAAYGGCGACGAAACGGATATCGAAGACGACGACAACGGCGACGATGATGGCTCGGACCACGAGGTTCCCATCTGGAAGCCGCAAGATACCCAGTCCGTCTGCGAATTCACTCACGTCATTCGAGATTATAGTGCCAAACGCGATTCGGGGTGCAAAAAGGCCGAATATTCTTCCACCACAGTCGACAACATGGGCAACAAATGGAGATTGATCGTCTACGTCAACGGSAACGGACGAGCGTCCAACAACCACCTGAGTTTGTTTCTACAGGTAGCCGATGCGGACGATCTACCCTTYGGATGGAAGAAAGCAGTATCATACGTGCTAACACTAGAACATCCCCACGCGGGTGCAGGACTCTCTTACGCGAAACGCAATCCTGACAAAACCTTCAAGCTCTGCCCGAAGGCGATAGACTGGGGCTGGTCGCAGTTCATTACTTCCGACAGGATCCAGCAAGAATCGTTCGTCCACAACGACACACTAGTGGTACGGGCATCTGTAACGGTCAAAAGCAGCTCGGTGGACATTGACATCGACGATGCAGAATTGTATCTGAAGTGTGCCGTAGAAGAAGGAAGACCAGACGCGGTCCAGCTCTGTCTCGATCAGGGTGCTTCGGTCAATTGCCAGTTCAAGGACGACCTGTACACGCCCCTTCACACGGCATGTAGCACGTCTCCCAACGAGGATGGAGTCAACGCCGCGCTCGGCAGTGGTGGCGAGCACAACAAGCCRAACAGTGCCCAGCCGAAGAGCAACAGCAACARCAACAACAACGCGATGTCCACCCACGAAGGAAGCATGAAAGTGCTCGAGCTTTTGTTGGAGAAGGGAGCCGACGGAAACGCATGCAACAAGTGGAGAGAAACTCCCTTGTTGATTGCTGCAAACAACGGCCACAAAGCAGCYGTCGAAGCCCTGCTYAAACACAAGGCTGATCCATCCCTTTGTAGCGAAGCCGGTTGGTCGGCATTGACTTTTGCGGCGCACAAGGTGAATATATCGTGTCAAAGTTTGCATTGCACCCCCTTTTCTGCTTGTTTTGTTTTTCGTTTCCGCTAATTGCACCGTTCATATTTGTTCCCGATGTTTCTTTCTTTCGTCGCTATAGGGCTATGGTGATATTGTGGAGCTTCTTCTCGAGGATGGYGCACCAGTGAATTGCCGTGTGACGGAAGATTCTTCTACACCTTTGCACAAAGCTTGCGCTGGGTCGAAGCCTGGACATTTAGAAGCCGTGAAACTCTTGTTGGAAAGCAAAGCCGATGTTCATGCCCTCAATAAATGGCGAGAGACCCCCCTGCTAACCGCGGCCAATCACGGCCAGGCAGGTGCAGTGGAGCTTCTACTGCGAGCTGGTGCGGATCCGTGCAAGTGCACCGAYACGGGTTGGTCTCCACTGAGCATTGCGGCCTACAAGGGCCACGACGAAGTTGTAAAGCTKCTGCTGGAAGAAGGAGCACCTACCGAAGAGGCGGATCCAACCCTTAGCGCATTGTTACAAGCAGCTACAAAGGGTCTGCCCGACACTGTTGAACTCCTTCTTCAGCACGGGGCCGACCACACGGTGACAACGAAGAAGGGGGACACTGCGCTTAGTATCTTGGTCGAACAGAACCTAATCGATGCAGCGGTCGAAATGGTGACCGAATACAAAGCAAGTATTCCTCGCTGCTCGAGAGACCGCAAAAAGGTGCAGCGTGCAAGGTTACTCATAAATTTACGCTTGAAACAACAGCAACGCGATGATGGCTCCGACGAGGAGGACAACGTAGAYCAGGCTCCGGCATCCGGAGATGARCCGAACAAACGCAAATCGAACAGGAAGAAAAAGAAAAAGAAGAGCGCGGCCGAACTTCAAGCGAAGGCAGCAGAAGAGGCATTGTTATTGGAACTAGAACAAGAGGATGCCGAGCGCCACAAGCTTGAACAAGACGCGAGTAAGAAGTCAGCCAAAAAGAGGAAAAAGAAGGAACGAGAAAGACAGCTAAAGAAAGAGCAAGAAGAAAAACGCAAAGCGAAGGAGAAGGAAGAAGAAGAAAAGCGCAAGAAGATCCAAGATGCTAAGGATGCTGCGCAGCGCGAGGAGCGTCTGCGAATCGCTGCAGCGCAAAGAAAGGAAGAGGAGGAGAACCGACGCAAGCAAGAGAAGATCATTCGGCAGCAACAGCAAAAGGAGCGGGAGCAGCGCAAAAAGCTTCGAATGGAAGAGGAGGAAAGGAAGAGGCTTCTACAAGAAAAAGAAAAGGCAGCCAAAGCTGTTTCCAAYAAGAATGGGACCACCAATGGCTCTGAAAAATCGGGCGAAGCTCRACGCCAAAGCCCTTCCCCTCAACTTAGTCAAACAAATGCACCCCTTCCAAAAAATGGCGTGTCAACGAATGCAAATGCACGCRATGGTGGCAATAAAAGAGGCTGGGAGATTCCCCAAAGAGAAAGAAATACTGKAGCTGTGCCGTTGAAGCCCAATATCAACGATGGGTCTAACTTTGCGGAAGTGGGAGTTGTGCCCGACTACGAAAATTTCATGGGAGGCGCGCATGTCGGTGGCACTGTCAAGCCTGCTGGAGCAGTTTTCTCGAGTCACAAACATATTGGCTCCTTAGACGTGAGCACCGCAGGTGGTTTGAGGTACGGTGGTGGAGAGATACCGTCAAACGTCATATCGAATGCGATTCATATTGCTGCCGTCCGGATYGAACCTCCAGCTGTTTCCATATTTCGTCGAGACAAGATATTCGAACTATTGCACAGATTTTCCACKGCGAAATCAACCTCGAGCCCTTTGGGTTCTGTAGATTTGATTGTGGTGAAGAAGGTCTTGTTCCGATGGATAATGAGGGCAGCTCACGAGTCATCAGGTTACGTTGACTTCATTGTTCCCAGCTGGAACGACGTTGATAAGCTTACCGATTTTTTCCAGCGGCAGTTTATCTCGGAGACTCGAAAATTTGTTCACAATGCAAATAGATCAATCAATATGGAGTCTTTGAAGGAAGCTGGAACTGCAACAGCTCATTTGTGCCTTCGTCTCGCCAATGATGTCGCCGACTTTCACCGACAGCTTGTTGCCCAACTTCCTACGGAGTGGAATGATGCAAATATTGGAGTGACAGCTTCTGAAACTCCTTCAACAAATATCAGCGATTCGACTGTTGTTATCAACTCGGCGAATGGTTATAGTGTCAACTTGCCAGGATCTGTTTTCTTGAAATTGAAAGAACGATACCGGGGCCCAAAATCTCAACTTTTGAGTTCTATTTTCGTGTGCAAGACATGTTATGATACCAAGTTGCTTCTTGTTGAAGATACGTCAATGGACTACAGCCTGACTCCGAATGCACGATCGAATGTTTCCTCTGAACTTTCTGTCAGTGCTGAGGTCTGGTCAGATCCCTTTTTGGCTTCTCGCAATAATTCATTTTTCGGTCAATTTGCTGAAATCGATCGTATGTTTGGCGGTCTCAAACCATTTGGAACAAATGAAGACTTGCTTTGCCAGCAGGGTGGGTCTGTGTTAGTGCTTGCGCCGCCAGACAATATGCTTGCATCTCGATATCTGAATCGCATTTTTACCGTTCTGGAATCTTGTGATCAAGCRAACCGGCCAGTTTCATTTGCTATCTTCCTTCGCTCAGAGTGTTTTAGGAACCAGAAGTCTCCCCTGTGCATCGATGACCTATAYATGCTCGAGCCAAGGCTGCGTGATCGTGGTAACTACATCAGTCGCRTAGAAACTCTAGTTGAAGGTGCGCATTACTACTTCAGTGAAAARCTTGGGACCTCCAAACCCAGCACAACTGCCAGTCTTTTTGTGCTGCTGCAAAATTCTTCGGGWAAAAACCGATTCCCTATCCGAAATATTGGTATTCTTCAAATTATGGGATCAAGGGAGAAAGAGTTCAACAATATCACCGAACCCACTTTGGGGAACCCWCTCACCTACGCACCAAATATGACTGCGCACAAAGACCCTTCATTCATGTCTGACTCAAGATTCCTTCAGCCTCCAACAAACCTCTCCGCTTCCCCAACTCCTCTACCCACAATTTCTTCTGGTTTTGGCTTTAATTCGATCGGAACATCTGCCCCGCCGTTATCAAACGCATTCGCACAAGATTCTTCCACTGGAGTTCGCCCGAGGCGTGGTCGTCTATTTGAGCTCGTGGATAATGGCGAAGAAGATGCGATGAATGACGTGGATGTCGTGTCAGGGATGTTAGGCTCATTGAATGTTGACCTTTTCCAAAATAGTGACACGCAAGCAAATGTTGACATTGAAGCAATAAGCTTGGGGTTGATYGGGGACTCATCGACCGCATTTCCTCCGAGAAGTAACAGAACTCAAGGACGATTTGGATAATTATCATTCATTCAATTTTGGATTCTTAAAAAAACTCTCGAACCTTATTAATATCTTCGTAAAYTTTCTTTGAACAATTGTCGCTACTATTGTGTAGAATGAAAAATATTWCTGAATGATATACGATAAATTTTGTGAATAACCCATGYATGTAGGAAGTGAAATGTTCAGATGGAAATTTGTAGGAAACACTGATTCTTTATTTCACGATGAAGTAGATTACAATGCCTGCAGCTACAGATGCAATCACGATGATCCAACACTGCTTCTTTCGAATCGATTTTTGGTATTCGATTGCCTGATGCGTTTCTACGTTTGCCTCCTCAACGTAGTCTGTTGCTTGCGTTACATTGAATTCGATTTGGTCAAGGAGCTCTCCCTGTTGCTCTGTTAGCAAAGCAAAATCCAAAAACATTTGGTGCAACTCTGCAACAGACTGCTCTAGCGTCAAAACATCCTGATATTTTCCTGCTACTTTGGCATACGTAGTTCTGTACAAGAAACGCCACCGCGWAGCCAAGGGAAACAAAAGCAAAAGGAAGCAACCARYATCAGTCTCTGCGCGTATCGAAGCTGTTAGTGKGTAGACACAAATAACAAAACAAAACGTACTTGATTTGATCATTGACRCCTCCGGCGAGAATAGTTTTCTTGTACAATGCATCTCTTCCCCCTTCGCTCTTCAGAACCTGATCGATCTCTTCGTCAGTAGCATCTGGTTTGACAACTTGAACCTGCCGTGTTACTTTATTTTTGATGTCCGTCTTGTATTTCTGCTGCGCCTGTTGGTAGGCTTTCATTTCATCGATGAACTTTTTCGTAAGAGTAGTGTTCATATTCTCACGTACACTTTGGTTCCATAAACATTGTCAAAATTATAGAGAGAAGACCGTAGGCCGCAGATGAGCACAACGAACAAGCTTCGATGAGAAACGAGGAATTCGTCTCCTYCCACCATCACAAACACATTCTATGAATGGCGCCATTGTTTGTAGCACAATAAAATAAGATACATACCGCACATTTGAGGCATTCAATTTCCCACCCTCCTTGAGTTTTTCTGTTTCTTCCTTGAGCAATCCCAGTAATGTTTTCGTCCTCTTTGCTCTTTTATTGGTTGTTGCGATGAGCGGGCCGAGTTTCTTTGAGAGGYTTTGTTCCTCGGCTGTGGTTGTGGCTTGCATGGATTGCTCATTGATTATGCCGATGTTTTTCGTGGCTTGTGCAACRGCCTTGATRTCGTTATTGATGCCGTCCACTTCGCTGAAAAAGGAATCCATGTATTGACTATCGTTGTCCTTTTTGTCTTGCATCTCGATGTCTCCACCTTTCGAGTTGCCCCCATCACTGTCTGAATCCGACTCCAACGCCCACGCGGGGACATCTCCCATCAAGTTGTTCATTTTGCTACGTCGCTATCCAAACACAAATAGAAGTGCSTGATCTTAGAATCTCTCGGTTCTTTGTTTGTGCCCGCTCTGTCAACTGTGTATCGTCACAGCACCGAAATCAATTTTGGTGTTCGAGGATGATTTTGGAAATCTCTGTCAATCGGCTCAACCGAAACAGTTGAACAGTTCACCTCGTGGTCATTCATCAAGGTATCGGSTACTATTCTACGGTTATGGTATCAAGGTAGTACCATACGGTACGRTGAGTCAATACCAGATACCAATGCGTGCAGTGCGTACTCGTACTGGTGGTACATACGGTAGTACGATACTCGTACTCATTTAGAATAGAATGCTCCGAAAATTATTGATCCAACAAGTACTGGGGTAGGTGTACCGGTWAATGAACAGTAGGAGGAGTACGCCCGATGATGATTCGCTGGGCGACATTTTCCGTTGCCTCTGTTCAAAACAAAATGCTGTCAGCACACAGGCACGAAATAACGTTATGTAACGTCCAGTACGAGTTACCGGAGGTATCGTCTAAATTTACCATTGGTTCGAGTTCGTACCATATGTTACGTACCATATTAGCATACTTCTCTTATCTTGACCCTCGCCCCCTGCTCCTTGCAAGTACGGTACTCGTACGTACAGTAAGTAGCAACCAGCAATTACGTACTTCGTAGCCTGGATGTATTGGACCATATGGGGCAGTACGTACCATATGCACAGAAAGTATGTACTAATTTTATCTTCTCGCAGAGCCAACGACAAAAACAATTGCCATTACCGACCGGCCGGTACAGTCTACGGTACGTACTGTTGACGAACAGACGTCGCGCGTTCTCGAGAGATGATGAAAATTGTTCATCACGAACATATTTGTGGATTATTTGTTTAATGTATCGTGGATGGAATTGATAAATCCCAAGAATGGAACAGAAATCTGAAAATGGGTGAATCGAGAGCCATATAATTGTTCTCATTCTTTACTAATTTATCTAGTCAATAAGGTTAATGTTTCATACTTTTTAAGGCTTCATACGCATGCGCCTACGCACACGTATTGAATCAACATAAATTAGTAAAGAAAACTAAAGCCGATAGTCTACTCTAGCTATCGCCAGTACGATACCGATCCAAGGATACTGTATCATAACTGTAATTGGATCCAAGGACCAAGTTAGAACCAAGCCACAAAGATGAGCACGGAAAATCAATCAGACTGGACCAAAGTAGTCAGTAAACGATCCACCGGACGCGGATCGCCCAATAAGGGAGGAAACAATAATAATAACAACAACAAGAAGAACAATGAAGGAAATTCAAAGAAGTTTACTGGCCATGACAAAGGAGTCCTCGAGGGCATTGTACTCACTGAAAATGGAAGCATCACTCAATTCACTGAACTACATGAACGCCTGCAAACCATCGGAGGATCACAATACATGCCGAAGGTCGGAGTGTCCATAGAATTACTGGAACGACTCAATCGAGTATCATTTGCACCCACCAAACCAACCGCCCGCGACTGGACACAAGTAGAGCTAGTGAAGGGCAAAGAAGTGGAAATAGAGAACGAGGACTTGAAGGACGTCCTATTGGACATGTACAAAGAAGAAGTGAAAGAAACTGCAAAGGATTTCACCACGTACACAAAAGACATGGCCAAGGTCTATTCAGTAGCGCTTGGGCAAATCGATGATGGAATGAAGGAAAAGTTAAAAAGTAATGATAAGTGGGAAGCTATCAGCAAAAGTAGATGCCCGGTGGAACTACTGAAGCTCCTCAGGGACATTTGCTTCCAAGGCAATAAGGCAAAGATACACACCCCAACAAATTTGGTTCGATCGCTTCGAAAACTACTCACACATAAACAACGCAACACTGACTGCATGACCTATGTACAGACCATAACTCAATTTAGTGAAGTGGTTGAAACAATCGGGGGGCGATATATCTGCCCGGCGCTGGTGAAATACGAACTCGAAACCAACGACAGATACAAAGACGGGGATGAAAGGATGACATACAGTGACTATTTGGATCTTCCTCAGGACAACAAAACAAAACAGCGTATTGACCACACGGCATTCCAACAGTTTGTGGCCGCTATCATCATCGAAGGCAGCGACGAAGAAACCAGCACACTAAAAGAGACGCTGAGCAACCAATACACTCTCGGCGTCAATCATTACCCGGCAACAACAACGCAAGCCCTTGAGATGCTGAATCATTTCAAAGGGACCAGGAAGGCAAAATCGAAACAAAATAACTCAACCGGTGGTAACAACAATCGTGGAGGTGGCAACAGAAGCAAAAAGTCTGACGATGAGAGAACAGATCACCAGGAGAATAACAACAGCAACGAAGTAAAGGAGGCAACCACATTCGTAACCAAAAGCGAAGCACAGAACAGCATGACGGCACGACAAATGCTAATGATGGCTGTGGAGAACAACGATGATTTTGGTGATGAGATGGACAATTTCTTCCAGATCTGTGTGGAGACCAACACGCAGTGCAATCGTGCGGATGAACTGCCGCCAAGTGAGCAACACGACAATGTCGGTTACTATACAATCAACAGCGAAAGCGAATCCAGCACTTTACACGGTGAAATTGAGGAGTGTAACCTCAAGGGGCGTGACAGTAAGCCGTCAGAGCCCGAAAACCCACCGTGTGATCGCTACCAGGTGCCACGACACGGGGCGCCAACAAGCTTTACGTACAGCCAAAAGACAGAAAGGATGTTTGCACAAGCATCAAGACACGGGGGACGAGTCAACAAGAACTGGATCCTCCTAGACAGCGAATCATCGTGCAATCTCATAACAAACCCAGAATTGGTGACAAATATAAGGAAGGCCCCCGAGGGAAGGAGCATGACTATTCACTGCAACTCTGGTGTGGCACACACAAATCAGATAGCAGACCTGCCAGGATACGGCGAAGTATGGTTCTATCGCGATGGCATAGCAAGTGTGCTCTCCATGGCAAAAGTGTCAGACAAGTACAGGATCACAATGGACACAGAGGTGGACAATGCGATTCATGTGCATAAGCGAGATGGGACGACGCAGCGATTCCGCCGATCACCATGTAACCTATACTATTACGACATGTCCAATGGCAATGAAACTGGCACAATGCTCACGATACTGACAGTGGATGGTAGCAAGGAGCAGTACTCAGACCTTGACGTACGCAGAGCCGACAAAGCAAGGCAGTTACAGGAGGCTGTGGGATTCCCAACCTCTAGAGATCTGATGAGGATGATCGACAACAAACTATTGGCGAACACAACCGTCACAAGACGTGACATACAGAACGCCGAAATGATATATGGCAAGCACTCAAGCATAGTTAAAGGAAAACAGGTCCGCAGCACTGCTGAACACATTAGAGAGGACATAACTCACGTTCCTTCCACTGTGTTGGACAGGTACAGAGACGTGACCATTCACATTGACGTTATGACCGTAAATGGGATCCGTTTCGTGCATAGCATCTCAAGGCATATCAAGTTTAGGACAGCTAGAGCAATCACCAATGCAAATACTTCCACCCTACTCGACTGTATTAAGTCGTTATGTGGACAGTATAAGACACGTGGCTTCATCGTTACACAGGTCTGTGGAGATAATCAGTTTGAGTGTCTTCGCGACGATCTGCTACAGATGGCGCCACCCGTACAATTGCACTGTGTTGGAGCAGGACAGCATGACCCCACTATCGAAAGGAGCATTAGGACCGTAAAGGAGAATGTTAGATGCTATTTCAACCATGTTCCATTTCGAAAGCTGCCAAAGCGCTGTGTCATCGAGATGGTTTACGCCGCAGTGTTCTGGCTCAACTGTAGAACAACCGGGGTGTGTAAGTCGCTATCGGCGCGGGAGCTTGTTACAGGAATACAGCTGGACTCTAAGGAGTGTAAATACCAGTTTATGCAACCAATCCTTGCACATGTTGATGGCACTGATAACACCATGACACCACGTGCAGTGGATGCGTTATACCTACGACCCACTGGATCGTTGACAGGGGGGTTTTGGGCCTATGATATAAATACGGGCAAGCGAATTCACCGGATGAATGCAACACCGACACCACTGACGCAAGCAATGGTGAAACAAATTGAGGCAATTGCTGATGCACAAAAATGTCCAAGTGGGATTTTGTTTGGAGATGGATTGGGCGAGTCCACCATCCTCGATATAGACACAATGGAGAACCAAGATGATGATGATGCATCAGATGCGACATACCGAGCAGATGAGGATGACGATGACGATGACTCAATGGGAACTATAGACCCAGCAGCGATAGAAATTACGGGGGATGACGTGGCCGACACCATTGAAACACCACAGGATAATACCGACGCCACAGTAACGGGCTACAACAACGAGGAGGACACCGCTGGTGTCCCAGACATACAGGAGGAGAGTACCGAGGGTGAAGATGCGGGAGAAAGCGTGGACGATGCCCCGGATCCCAGTGACGAACACCAACAAGAGGCCGAACAGGATTCGCCAATAAGCTCTAGGCTAAGGCCAACAGTACAGCGCACTCACAATAAATACGGTATGGAGGACGGATACGCGACCAACACTCACAGCCGTACTCTGTTCTCCATGGGGTACAGGAACACTGTAAACAGACTGATAAAGGACCAGCAGGCCATCACCCTAGTCACGAGTGCGATAGAGCAATACAATAATCTGGAGGCGTCCCCGGTAACGCCTCAGTATGGGATAAAGAAAGGAATTAAGTTGTTCGGCGAAGCAGGAGTGAATGCAGTACTGAAGGAACTCAAACAAATTCACGATCGGAAGGTGCTGTCGGTGCTGGATCCGAAGACTATGAAAAAGGAAGTGGTAGAGCAAGCTCTACCCTATTTAATGTTCCTCAAAAGAAAAAGGGATACCTCAATCAAAGGAAGAGGGTGTGCAGATGGTCGCCGACAGCGTGACTACATCCAGAAGGAGGATGCGACCTCACCAACGGTGTCTCTATACGCACTGATCCTTTCCTGCATCATAGATGCGATCGAGGAAAGGGATGTTGCGACAGTGGATATTCCTGGCGCTTTCCTGCAGACAGACATGCCCGAGGGCGAGGACGTCTATATCCGTCTGGATGGAACAATGGCTGAGCTGTTGTGCCGTGTTGACCCAAGAATGTACAGTAAGTACATACTGAATAGACAAGGGAAGAAAACACTGTTTACACGTGCGGAGAAAGCAATATACGGCACACTCCGAGCTGCTTTACTATTTTGGGAGAAGCTATCCGGTCAGCTGGAGGAGTGGGGCTTTGAGCTCAACCCATACGATCCATGCACTGCAAACAAGATAATCAATGGTCGGCAATGCACCATTGTATGGCACGTGGATGATTTGAAAATCTCGCATAAGGACGAGAAGGTAGTGACCAAGATCATTGAGAAGCTCAATGAAAAGTTTGGTGTTGAATCACCACTCACTGAAACCAGGGGTAAAATACACGACTATGTGGGCATGACCCTGGATTACTCGTCGCAGGGGAAGGTTAAACTAAGCATGTTTGACTACCTGGAGGACGTACTGCGGGGTCTTCCTGAGGGCCTCCAAGGAAGAAGAGCAGTGACACCGGCGGCGGACCATTTGTTCAAGGTGAATGATGAGGCCGAGAAGCTTGGGGAAGACCAAGCCGTCCGTTTCCATCATTACGTAGCAAAGCTGCTTTACGCATCGAAGCGGACAAGACCAGATATCCAAACAGCGATTGCATTCCTGTGTACCCGGGTTGCAGCTCCAGACGTTGACGATTGGAAGAAGCTGAAGCGCGTGATGGGTTATTTGAAGGAGACAGTATTCCTGCCATTAGTGCTGGGCTGGGACCAAACCGGAAATGTGTATTGGCACGTTGATGCAGCCTTTGCCGTCCACAACGACATGAAGAGCCACTCTGGAGGAGTGATGACATTGGGTCAAGGTGGGGCAATTACCACATGTACCAAGCAGAAGCTGAACACAAAGAGCTCAACAGAAGCAGAAATCGTTGGAGTAGATGACAACATGAATTTCATCGTTTGGACAAGACTGTTTCTGCTGGCCCAACAACAACATATGACTGACAATGCAGGTGATGTTGACTGCGCATCCATGAAGCTAGTCAAGAATAATATCCTGTACCAAGACAATGAGAGCGCCATTAAGCTTGAGAGAAACGGGAGAGCATCGAGTACCAAAAGAACACGACACATCAATGTCCGTTACTTCTTCATCACCGACAAGGTAAAGAAGGGCGAAGTAACCATCGAATACTGTCCCACCGACGAGATTGTTGCAGACTACTTCACCAAACCGTTGCAGGGAGCAAAGTTCAAAAAGTTTAGAAACACCATCCAAGGGATCTCTGAGAAGGACTATCTCCAGTATAAACAAGTGTATCATGACGCTCAAGCACTCCGTATGAAGATGAACGTACAAAATGACACTGCAGCAGCGGCTACCGCATGAGGACAGGTCCTGTACACAATCGTAGACACAGTACTGCAGTGAGGAGTGTGTTGACGAACAGACGTCGCGCGTTCTCGAGAGATGATGAAAATTGTTCATCACGAACATATTTGTGGATTATTTGTTTAATGTATCGTGGATGGAATTGATAAATCCCAAGAATGGAACAGAAATCTGAAAATGGGTGAATCGAGAGCCATATAATTGTTCTCATTCTTTACTAATTTATCTAGTCAATAAGGTTAATGTTTCATACTTTTTAAGGCTTCATACGCATGCGCCTACGCACACGTATTGAATCAACACGTACTACTAGGTTTTGTATCTTCTTGAATTTTGATGTAAACAAGGTGAAGTCGTAGCAACCGTAATGCACCCCCACCTACATCGAAACGACGTTCCTCCGAACTGAGTTGTTGACTGTACTAGATTATCTGACTGCAATTTGAGTGGGACGGAAAGCACAAATACACCAGTACTAGGCAACGAGCGAGGAGTTAGTACTRAAAGCTAGTCGATGAGTACTAGAACGAGTAGGCATTAAAGAGGTGTTCAAGAGCGCTTTCGCAACCTCTGACTTTGATGAGAGGATGCCGATGATGRAATGTTCCCGGGAAAAAGTTCTCTTATTACTGGGGTTCTCTGTTCCGAATAGTTTTATTGAATACCAACGGTTGGATATTCGTTCTTACACCGGAAAAATATTCGATACAAACAASAAGAAGACCAGAACCCATTTTTTGTGAGCCGCATCTTTCTCTTGTTAAGRAACGAGAAGCACCGTTTCTTTCGTGGCTCTCGCGCAGCAAGCATACCGACAAMGGCACTACAATTCCGACGAGGCACCGACTCTTCCCAATATTTTGATGTCGAACAGCAGATCCGAGTTCGCGGGAATCCAAAAGGCWCCRCCCTTGCTTCCCATGGCTCTATTTCCGTATCCGAGAGASGCGGGAACGTGYAAGAGCGCCCGCTCGCCTTCTTCCATCTGCAGGACGCCGTCCGTCCATCCCTGGATCAGGTTGACACCCGGCTGGAAGGAGAAGGGCGCCTCCGTTGCCGCACCGTCTTCGACACGGGTCGACCATCCCGATGGCGTGCGTTCGCCGTTTTTCTCTTCAATATACAGGGTGACATCGCTTCGATATGAATAGTCCCTCGTGACGGGAACGGAAGGGCCTTCGCTCTTGGAAATGSTTTCGACGACCACCTCTGCCGCAGATACGTACGCTGTTTGCGACGAGAGGACGCCAAGCACCCACAAGAAAAAGGAAACCAAAATGCTTTTCGTGACCGACTTCATCGTGTTGTTGCTGCTGCTCCGATTTTTGAATGGAATGGTTGGGGTGCTGTCAGAAGAAGGATTCTGTAACAATGAAGTTGCCGCAATCGACTGCCGGTTACCGGTAGGGTCATCGAAAATCGAAAACAACGTTCTTGTTGCGTTTTGCGTTCCGGATTTTTTGACTTTCCCGACTACGATCTAGTACTTCTAGTACAGTACCGTCCGATACAGGTACGATCTTCGCGCGTGATTCGAGGTTTACTACGCGCGCTCTAGTTTTGTTTCTGCCACTCATCACCGACTTCACTTTTTGATTTGGTGAACATTGTTGATTGTTGACTCACGGAACGAAACAGAAAGAGACCTTCCACGCTCAATACCGATAGACCTCACCAAATCTTCTGCTTGAGCAATSAACCTTCCGTAAATCTTCAAATCTACTGTACAATTCAATCTCCTTCATTGGTCTGCGATACGATAGAAAGCACCAAAAGCAGCCAAAGGTGCATCACCAGCCGTAAATGAAAACCGCAATTTCCGGATCCAAATAGATTACAATGGTTGGCTACGACGACGATGACAACAAGAACTCTTCCCTTCGCGAGAAAGCACACGAGGATGAGTTCGAACGWATGAAAAGGGAAGAATTMYCGGATTCSAATGACGCTGTGAGCGGAATTGTCGGCAATGGCGGTGGCTTGCTGACTGCGAGYGGCAAAAGYGTCGGGACCATGACCGAATTGCGTCAAAAAGTCCTCCGTGACATGACCTTCCTCGGCGGATCGTCTTCTGCAAAGGGCAACCGAGACGATTTCTTCTTTTTCAATTCGGCCCTGGAATGGAAGCCGAACGTGCCGCTGCGGGTACCCATGGTCTACTGTGATTTCACAGCGTCGCATCGCCCCCTCCAAAGCATCGAGGACTACATCCGCCACACGTGCCTGCCGTTCTACGGGAACACCCACACCAATACRTCCGTGACCGGCGGGCAATCGTCGGCCTTTGTGTCGGAAGCAAGGCAGATAATAGCGGAGGTCTGCAACGCAAAAATCACGGGGAAGGCTTCCCAGGACGTTGTCTTGTTTGCCGGAAACGGGACGACCGCGGCCGTGCGACTGCTCATCGATTGCCTCGGGCTCAAGCACTTCTGCAGCAGCAACACCGCAACCACAAACGGCRGCACTTCGACTACGCGTGGGAAAAAGCCACTGATCGTCCTGGGACCCTTCGAACACCACTCGAATTTGCTGCCCTGGAGGGAACTCGGCGCGGACAAGTTTTCGATCGAGACGGCAAGGCTCACACGAGATGGCTCCGCTGTGGACATGGCCGACCTCGAGCGGATTCTTGTCTCGCACCGCAGGGACAACCCGGATTGTCCCTTTATGATTGGGTCGTTTTCRGCCGCATCAAACGTAACGGGCACGGTCGTCGACGACATTGCCATCACGAGGCTGCTGCACAAGCATGGTGCCTTGTCCTTTTGGGACTACGCGACCGGTGCTTCCTACCTAAACGTCAACATGAATCCGACTTCGTCCAACGACAAGGCGGCCGACATCGCGAAAGATGCACTGTTTTTCAGCGGGCATAAATTGCTGGGCGGAGGTGGGGGAACCCCGGGGGTGTTGATCGYCAAGAAACGCCTGGTCTCGTCGTTGAACCCACCCGGTCAGGCATGCGGGGGCGGAACCGTCTTTTACGTCACCAAAGACCGCCATCGGTTCTTGTCCGACCGAATCGAACGGTACGAGGGYGGCACCCCGAACGTCGTCGGGATTTGGAGGCTCGGCTTGGTGTGGCGGCTTAAATTGTCGCTCAAAATTGCTGCGGGAAAAATCCTCTCTTCGGATCGCAAACCGGATGAAACCGGCAACAAGGACGCAATGATGMAAGAGGACGTATCGTCGTTGCTCTTGCATTATGACTTGAATCGGGCAGAAAGCATCCAGGAACGCCTCAAGGAGATTCCAAATCTCGTGCTTCTGGATGGGAAGTTCTCGTCGAATGTTCCAAAACTTCCAATTTATTCGTTCCTGGTTCGATGCGGAAGCAGGTTTCTACACTACAACTATGTCTGTGCCCTCCTGAACGACGTCTTTGGTATCCAATCGAGAGGTGGGTGCCAGTGTGCCGGACCGTACTCCCAGTATTTGTTAGGAATGAACAGCAGTGGAAAGAGCGGTAACGATTGTGATGGGGTTTGCGGAAGCAACGAGGCGGTGGAAGATTGGCTTGTCCATACAAAGGACGAATTGATGCGACCRGGTGCCACCCGACTGAGCCTCCCAAGCATGGGAACAACTCTCGAACAGGAAGAGTACGTCATYGAAGCCATCCGATGGGTGGCGACCCACGGGTGGAAACTTCTCCACGTCTACCGATGCAACCACAGAAGCGGGGAATGGAGGCACAAATCACGCCAGAGTTCGCCACTGGGGACGAACGAGCGTCGTTGGTTGTCTCACTACCGGCTAAAAGACAACGCACAAAAAGAGGCAGRAAATGTTGGTGACAGTACACACGATTCGAAGGATGTTGGTTCGTCATTGAATAATGCGTTGAAAAACGCAAACGAAATGTTGCTTCTCGTGACGAATGATCAGTCGAGTATTTCACAGGCATTGAAGATGGTCGAAGAGGAAGAATCGCCGTCGTCATTGCGCTGGTATGTCTATCCTAAGGTGAGTGATGTCCATTGAATTCTTTGAACACGTAAATATTTTCATTGTTTGCTACGTATAGTATCTAAGGGGTCGAATATTCTTTTTCACAGGATGTTGCACGATACATCAACGAGTCTCTGGAGGAGGTACCAGGCACGGAGGATCCTTCTAATATTCAAGGGGCATTGCGACCGATTGCTTTAGGTACGGACATCATCGGTACAACTGAGTTCGAAGAAAAAAAAATCGATGGAGACGATACATTTACTACGGTTACGGTTGAGAACGATAAAAATCATAGCTCTGGAATGCTCAACTTCCGGGACGGCGAACACAGCGGGGAAGCAAYATTGGAAGAGATTATCGAGGGCCATGATGACGGAGAGCTCTCTGATCATTGCCAAATTTATGACCTGGCAAGCGATTCTTGGCTAAGAATCGACTCATTTCTCGAGAAAGAAAATTATAATGGCGACAACGACGATGATGGCTCTGCCGAACCTAAGGATCCAAWATGYGAGGAAGAATCCATGCTGGAACCCACACCCAAGGCAATGCCATCGATCGAAATAGAACCAAACGATGATTTTCAATATATCGCCAAAAATGACCAAAARAAGCCAAAAAGAGACGAAACTGCTTGGGGGAAGGGGCATGTTCAGCCCCTCACAACCAATGCAGAAGGAAACGAGAATGCAGAAACARAGAAAACAACTTCTCGACGGAAGAAATCGAAGCACACGAAGCCGCCTGCAAAGCTGATGCGCCTTTGTACTCAGGCAATGATCCAGTGGGATATGTTAGAAGATGGCGATCGCTTAATGCTTGGCCTTTCTGGTGGAAAAGATTCTATGAGCCTTTTGCATGTTCTACTGGAATTCCAAAAAAAGCTTCCGATCCGATTCGAAATTGAGGTCAGTTCAAAAATTGTCTGTTGATTCCAAACTTTAGCTTTGTCARTAGTAGAAGCACCAGCTCACACTGGCGTTGATCAACGTATTCTCCAGGTTTGTACGATAGATCCGATGACCCCATCCTTCGGTAAGTTTTGCACATCGATTTCATTCGTAGGGGATTACTTGCAAGATTCAATTCGTTGACCACGTCTCTAATCTTTTTGCTACTGCTTCTTCTTCTTTTAGACCCTTCCCCCCTTATTCCATACGTAGAATCTCTTGGTTTAAAATATCACTACATTCGGGATGATATAGGTAAGAAATTCATGAGTTGAAATTTGCGCCCTTCGAAGATTTAATCTAACGYATTTCTTTTCATTTCTTTCTAGTCGAACGTGCTGCAAGTGCAGGGAAGGAYGGAACGCTAGTGTCCTCTCTGTGTGCCTTCTGTGCTCGAATGAAACGAGGAAACTTGTACAGCTGCGCGCGGAGAAACAATTGCAACAAACTTGTYCTTGCACAACATCTAGATGATTTGGCAGAATCCTTTATGATGAGTGTAATGCACAATGGCTTTCTTCGCACCATGAAAGCAAACTATAAGATTAATGCTGGGGACCTATCTGTAATTCGACCACTGGCGTATTGTAGAGAATCTCTGATGACTGAATTCGCGAAATCTGCAAATTTTCCAATCATCAATGAAAATTGCCCTGCGTGCTTCGAAGAACCAAAGGAAAGAGCCCGTATGAAAAAGCTTTTGTCCAAAGAGGAAACGCTTTATCCAAGCTTTTACGACAACATAAAACGTGCCATGCTTCCTCTCATGCATGATGATTCTACAGCAATCATGCGTTCATACACAGAAGAAGCAATCGCAAAATCGCGTAAGGGGGTGAAGAAAAAACCATCTGATTACCAAAAGAAAGGCGACGGTGCAGTTGCAAAATCTGAAGCCAATGTTAATGAATCAACGAGCCTGGAAAAAGCAAGTGAAGAAATGTTGATCCGAGAATTAGCACGCAGAAGAGCAGACAAGTTCAGGCTAGCCGGTTCAATGCCATCGCATACACCTGAAGGTCCAGCAGATCCTACGGGACAAGTATGTACTCTAAATGGAGGGAATGGTACGATACCCTGCCGTGAATTAATGGAATAGTKTACTGTCTAAAATGTTAAAAAGGAGAGATATATTGAAGATTATCGAAAAAAATAAAATAATAAATCATGGTATGATAAAGATCAAATAGCTATTATTCGACTTGAATTATTTCTTAGATCACTGAACCATCATTACGAGAAGTAATATGATGAAAATGAAAGAGAGCACGGCAATTGCAGTCATTATAATTTGCTCACTTCTAGGCTTTTGTTCGAATTCAATTTTTTTGCGTGCGATGATAGGTAGCACATAATCATACGCCGCAAGCACCTTTGCTTTCGATTTTTCGGCGATGGACTTGATCTTCTCACCTTTTGAWTTCCCCTTTTTCGAAGGTGACAAATCTTTAGTGTTCCTCATTGATGGTTCATGTGTAAGCCTGCCAGCTTCTACATCAACGAGTACTACATCATTCCTAGTCATACCATCAAATTCCATGATAGAAATTTCTTCTCGTTCGACTACAGGAATCATAAGGGGAATGCTGGTGCTCMACAAAGATTCATCGATTACYTGATCATGTTCTTGGGCAATAGATTGATCTTTTTCTTCCGTTGAATTTGATTCCTTTCTTTCTTGAGATTCTCCAGAGAGGCATTTTCTGATCAACGGTGTAGATGTATCTGTATCGTTGTGACTTTTTTGCATGATCGTTTCTTSATGGACTCTTCGCTGTGAAGATGAGGACATCGAGATAAARCTTTCAATTTGAGTCGAAGAAACATCATCGGAATGATTYACCGTACTGTCGGAGCAATGCTGTTCTTGAATACTTTTGATTTTCGCTTTCAACTGTTGGATTCTTTCGTCGGTTTCGGATTTTTCYCTTTCCATTTGCTTGATCTTSGTTACTTTCGGAGTAATATTAAGTGGAAGTGATGGAATTTGTGTTGGCGTCTTTACGGGTRGATCCCTGGTTTTCTGAGGTGTTRAAATGTCCATTTCCCTGTTTCTATCGCCGTYACTACCACTATCGCTGCTACTGTCGCTATCAAGGGACAAATCATCCCACGTTGTTTCATATTCCAAGGAAGAAACAGGTTCTTGATTCGTTATCGAAACGAGATCAACCGAATGTTCATTTATCGGAGGGATCGATAAAGTACCACTGCTAAGCCCTGTGAACTGACTATTCACCGTAGCGCGACCACTCTTTGARGCCGTTCGTTTGTGTTGGTAGTGGCGAACAGCTACATCGCTTCTAGAGCAACTCGTCAGAACGCTCGAATCATCTGTTGATGCTGAAGAAATTGCAGAAATTTCAAACGAAAATTTCTCCGCGGTAGMGACTTCAAACGGAACGTTGCTTGTACAAAAGACATTGGCTGTATCTTCTGTAGTTAAGAAGCCGACTGCTGACATCTCTTCGCTACTTGTCGCCATATCTATTGCTGGAAATCTGTCAACGTTCTCAAGCATCGATTTTCTTTTGTTTGGGTTGCTTCGCGTCTCGACACAATTCATGATCTGACTTTGCTTCTTGTCATCATGAATTATTTTGACGTCATCCTTCTTTGATTTAGATGAAGCCATAATTATATCGTGATGTTCTTTCGGACGAGACGCTTGACGTGCATATCTTCGATGCTTTAGTGACATTTCATCGTCGTCAGAATAATAGGTTGAACCATCGGACGAACTCCACGAAATTTCTTCCCTGTTCGATGTCTGAGACATTGAAAGGGTGACGTCCAGGCTTGCCTCTACAGATCCATGATCATCGACTTCCTTCCTGCGAACATAATCTTTGTTCCGAGGAATTTTCCGGATATTCAGTACGGTGGTCATCTTGCCTGGCAATCTTCTTGTTCGAACAGTTTGAACACAGTTTAATAAATTCAAAATGAAAGGTTGCGGTTTAAAGACCTCGAAAGTGAATTTTCGTGCATATGGAATGGCAAGCGAACACAATAAGAAGTAGAAGGTCAACACGATAGAGTTGTTCGAAATAGCTAGGATCAATRAAAAATCTCAATTCAAATTAATTAGCGTTGGGTCCTTTTTCTGGCACAAAATTGTTGCTTGTCAGATCGAACTGATTCCCATGGGGGCTCTAGACCATACGACACACGGCGTAGACCAGTTAACCGATTGTTAAGACGGTTAAACAAAAATCCAACCATAAGTCGTGTGCGGGACCAATGTTTGGTTGATATTTTACTGTTTAAAATTTAAAATTTAGGGACTTGAGGAATTCCCCAAAAGTACTCCGAGTTTTTCAACGTCACGTCATTTCACCAAAAAACAAAAACCAGAACTGACAGTTTTTTGAKTTGGCCTACCGTAGTGGTTTCGGATGTGCGCTACGTAACGCTTTTGAAGCTTTACACTTGTTGGCAGACACATGTTTAAAGAACTTTTTACGACTTCGTTGTCAGTCGGTAGCACACGAGGCAACTACCGGTAGAACTAGCTAATCCCAGCATTTGCCTTCTCACTACGAGAGGATGACAATCACGGCAAACRCGAAACCAACAAGAAAATGCAAGAAATGCGAGAGACATCTGGGAAAAGAGTCGTACAGCACACGCAGATGGAAAAGGAAGATAAGCGAATGCAAAGAATGCTTCGCACCATCTCAAAATRTTAGGTTACCACAGAATAAGTCAAAGTCATCGGTCAGCGTCCCTTGCGACTCAGATGCGATCCAAGCTGCTCCAGAGATTAGATCCAAGAAGCGGAAACGCATGTCGACGAAAGGTGATGGCGCAGCTGGAGCAAGTGAAAAGATAATTGATAMAGAAGAGATAAAGTCAATGCTGAAGCAAAGAATCGAGTCAATTCCTAYCTCTGAGCAAAAGATTATAAGGATTATATGGATATCGAAATCTATTTCTGCAAGAGACGAAAAGGCCGTGGCCAACAAGGTTGTGCTAAACGGATGTTATGGCCCTATAGATGAGCAACAAATGGGCCACATTCAAAAACAGATTAAATCGACTCAGGTTTCTCTTTTTCAGGCTATCACTATTCGGGCTGCCTATCTCAAACAAAAAACTATGTACCGAACTGCATCCCTTCGAAATTTAGGAAGTTCAGTTTTCAATAAGTACAGGGTAGGACATTCTGTAGTAGACTTATCAAGGAGKTTTGACCAACCGCCTATGAATGTGTTTCGAACGATTCTTTCTGAAATGAAATGGAGCAAGAATGCAATTAAAAAAGCTTTAAGAGATCCAAAACAGTTCGGCCAACGCGAAAGAAAGGAGTTCCTAGCTGCAGAATCTGCAGATATAGTGTCGATGGTCAATCAGATAGACATACAGRTGAATTCTGAAGAATTCGAAGACGCACTTTCGGTCTGGTTAAAAGGAATGGGAATTCGATTTGTCAGACAAAAAGAGCTAGAAAAAGAACAGAAAAAAGCATTTGGCAAATCRATTTTGACTCCTGATTTCTTATTGCTGGACCAGGTACTTATAAACGGGGATAGGTGCCATTGGATTGACTGYAAGGCATACTATGGGGCCAATCTACGGCTTAGCATAAAACAGACCCAAAAACAAATGGCGCGCTATATTGATCACTGGGGCTCGGGAGCTATAGTTTACCTGCAAGGATTTAGCGCGGCAATCAAAATGAAAGATTGCATATTACTGGATGCTCGGGGGGCTCTCGATAGGAAGGTATTGTCTCGACTGGAAAAAAATCACTGTGAAGCTATCAATAAAGTGTCGAAAACAATATTCAGCTAATATTAGAAAAAAGGCAAACAAGATGGACTACCGGTTCCCTAGGTTCTTCAAAAATAGCAYTTCTTGATACGAGTCAACCTTAATTTTCAATTATAAAATTTATGCTGTTTGTACAACGTTGAARTGTTGAGACAATATTTGCTTCCGTATCTCACAGCTTTCCACTAATGTTGAATCGTGTTTTTGTTTTCCGAATGCTCCCCCCATGGCTTTTGCTGTTGATGTTTCTTGTAGGTCTAGCTGTTCCMTATCGTCTTCGTTCGATGCATGTTCGGAATTGGGGTCAGTTTTGTCATGAYCCCAGTAATCAGCAGCATCCAGTGCAACGATGCACGATTCTGCAACTGCCGGATCAAAGTCCTTTTGGTAACGGGTCAGCATGGATTCGATTCGCTGCCAATCTTCAAAAGTTCCTTCGATAGCACCTAATGCTTCCGCCGATTCGTGTCGCACCATCGCGTGTTCATCTAATCTTGACAAAGACTCTTCAAGAGCAGATATACTCGATGGATGCTGAAGCTGCCCCAAGACAAAGGCTACTTCGTGTCTGAGCAACGGAGAAGAAGTATCTTCGACCAATGCACGGCAAAGCTGTTTGACGCATTCTTCTCCGCCTCGATTTCGCAACGAAAACATTGCTCTGTATCGCTCGATCAAGTCTCCTCTCCCTCTCGTGGATTTTTCACTTGTTTCATCCGAGGTACGGCCATTCGTGTTGAGAAGAATTTCACCCAACTCTTCTGTCGACAAAGAAACGTGGGCAGGATCGACCTCCACTGGATCGACCGAATTGAAGGGGGCTAACATACAGGCGCATCCCACGACAGGGGAATTGTCGTTGTTGCCGTCGCCACTTTTCTTTCTGATTTCGTGATCAATTCGATTTAAAGCCAATAGGCATGTGTCGGATAATTCGTCTAGGACCCCTTGGTATTTGATTCGGGTGGATTCTAACACGGCTCTTGATTGCGGCGACGCAATTGCACCCAAGGCTTCCGCCGCTTCGTGTCGAACCATCACGCAGTCGCCTTCTCTTGATAGCAAGTTTTCGAGAGCGGTGCAAGCGTCCTCGGTTTTCATCTGTCCCAGCACGTACGCAAACTCGTGGCGGAGCAAGCTACCGTGTTCCTCCACAAAGACTTGGTCGCACAACACGGTGACAATGTCGTTCATTTTTCGTGMTCTTTCGGCTTGGTTGCTGTCGTCTTTAATGCCGCCATCGTTTTCTTCCCCCTTTTCCTCTTTTTGGAGGTCAACGAAAAGCTGCTTTGCGTAGTACGCTGCCCTCATTCGCATGCCGATGGGGGACGAAGCATTTCGCAACGTCTGTTGAATTTCTGATAATTCTGGAACGGTCCACATGACTCTTCAACAGTTGCGATATCAGGCTTTTCGATGAAAGTCGTGTTTGGGATGTGCTGTAACGAGGGAGCTTCGATTTTTTCTCCTTTCCGTCTCTTGCTCGAACTCCTAGTTTTCAGATATTCACACCAGCGTGCCTCACATACATGAGGAATGAGGACAGAGCCGTTCGTATCGTTCAATATCGTAGACTACTACGCTACATTACAGTAAGGGCACGTACACTTCCAATCCTCGTGCAAAGAAACAAGTTAAATTTTTTGGTAATTCTTCGAAAATGAAAGTCAGAGAGAAAAATAAATATCAATGCGAGCTCTAATTGGTTCGTAACATTACACGTGGAAGTAATTCTAATAAGGGGCATTACCATTGATGAATTACCATTGATGAATTACCATTGATGATTTACCATTTATGAATTACTTGTACTTCTACTAGTTTGGGAGAATGGAAGAGGGACAAGGGGGGGATGATTTTCTAGTTTTGGCGCGTCAAAGTTAGTCAATTTAGTCAATTACGTAGTCAATAACTAATAACTACCAGTACTTTAATAACTTCCCCAACGCCCAGCTTTTTTCTACCTCGAAGTAAGGTGTTGAAAATGTACCGTTAMGCGTACGCTCGTACCGCTACTGCCACACACCAGGTGGGTAACAAACACTACCTGTGCGTACCCTACGTACCGTACCTCTAAATCAAAATCAGAAATCCGATTGACCATCAAAATTCGTTCATTTTTCGTTTGATTGCCTCCTCTGTCTCAAAGCATATTCTTGTTTCTGACATCTTCTCCCAACCCGTTTGCTGATAGCAGTTTTCCAATATCTTCCAACRCAACGATGATTCGGGTAAAATCTTTCATGAGCCGCTCAGTGGTATGCTTRAATGAACCTTTTCCCTTCCGGTTATATTTGCTCGCGACAACAATTGTTTTAGCCTTTGTAACGATGGGGCCATCGTGTCTTGGNGGAACGGTCCACATGACTCTTCAACAGTTGCGATATCAGGCTTTTCGATGAAAGTCGTGTTTGGGATGTGCTGTAACGAGGGAGCTTCGATTTTTCTCCTTTCCGTCTCTTGCTCAAACTCCTAGTTTTCAGATATTCACACCAGCGTGCCTCACATACATGAGGAATGAGGACAGAATCGTTCGTATCGTTCAATATCGTAGACTACTACGCTACATTACAGTAAGGGCACGTACATTTCCAATCCTCCGTGCAAAGAAACAAGTTACAGTAAATTTTTTGGTAATTCTTCGAAAATGAAAGTCAGAGAGAAAAATATATATCAATGTGAGCTCTAATTGGTTCGTAACATTACACGTGGAAGTAATTCTAATAAGGGGCATTACCATTGATGAATTACCATTGATGAATTACCGTGTGGGTACCTGTAATAAAATATACAATAATAAATACACAGTACAAAGTCCGTAGGATTCTACACACACACAAATTATCGCTAACTCCCTGCAATACAAGTATTTGTAAGAGTGAGCCTTACTACTGGAGCGGAAATATCCAAAAACTTCATAAAAATTGAGGTACGAGTACACACCTTGCTACAATGCTAAGTACTTTGAAGTACTCGTAAGAGTGCTTACTACTGGGAAATGAAAACCAGTAATTTTACCGAGTCGACAGTACTAAGAGTTCTGCTTACTACTGGAAATAAACACCTCCACACGGACTCATTACTACTGATTCCTACAAGCACCTCAGGCCCAATACTACTGGTACTGGGGGTGTTGCTAACTGTGTTAATAGGAATACTGCTTACTATTTCTTAACAGCTATCTAACATTGCTCTTTTATTCAGGATAGCAATAACACCACGAATAACACGGAATAACACGAATAACACGGAATAACACGAATAACACGGAATAACACGGAAATATACAAATCGATTGCGTCCATACGGATCGATTGCTTCCGTACAAATCGATTGCTTCCATACGAATCGATTGCTCCCTTCTTGCTTCCATACGGATCGATTGCTTCTTCCATACGTATCAGCATCCTACGTATCAGCATCCTATGTATCAGCATCCTACATATCAGCATCCTCCGTAGTATCGATCCGCATCAGCATCCTCCGTATCAG